TCACCTCTAAGAGCACCCAGGACAATGCCACCCCTCAGAGGGCACCCAGGACAATGTCCCAGCCCTGGACTTGCTGCAGGCTGTCCGTGCCACCTGCCCTTCCCCTCCAGGAGAGCGCAGYCCCCCGTTCCCATCCAAGGTGACATCCAGGGGACAGCGCGGTGCTCACGGCTCCCCCAGCTCTGCGCTTTCCCTGCGGGCCGCGCTCAGGGTGGCTCTGTCCCTSTGTCYCCTCTCGGGKCTGTCCCCRGRGCTGTCCCCGGGGCTGTGCCGCCCCATCCCGCCCGGAGCTGGGACACCGCACGGACCGGGGCGGTTTGAGCCTCCCCTCGGCTGTAAATGGGATGTCAAACACGGGGAGGGGACAAAGGAGCGGCAGCAGCGGGCTGAGGCGGTGACAGTTTGATCAGTCTGTCGCCAAGGTTGCCCAGATTATTCGCTCAGTCAGGAGAAGGGCAAGATTAAGACTTCCCGTAGGGCGGAGGAGGGCGGGGAAYCCACAACAGGGCAATGGAAAAGGCGCAAATCCCAAAGGAAAARCCCGGTCCTAAAACTGTCCTCAAACCCAGCCTGAGCTGCTCTGGAAGGGGGCAGGAAAAATKAATTCCTCACCCTCGGGGTCCCACAGCTGGGACCGCCCCGAATTGAAGGTGTTGAAGGCACCTGAAGGCCCCAAAATAAACAGAACTGCTTTTCATTCTCTGGATTTTGGGTTCAGGCAGCCGGATTTGGGCATCGSCGCGGTGATTTCAGCAGAAATGCTCCTCAGAGCGATGCCACTGTGGGTGTTTGGAAAGCACAATCCACGGATTCGCCACGGCACAGGAGCTGCTCTGCAGCCACCGCGATAATGTTATCCGGCTCCGCGATTTGCATAAATGCATATGATTTGAATATGCAAATGCGGGCTTCCAGGCTGTCACCGCAATAAACACAGCGAGATTTTCTGCGCTGGAAAAGCTTTTCCTTCTAAAGGGAAACTCTGGGATTTGGTTGGGGGCTCCAAAGCGGTGGGTCCTGGCAGGGCTGTCCGTCTGTCCGTGCTCAGGGTGCTGACAGGGCTGTCTGTCTGTCCGTGCTCAGGATCCTGGCAGGGTCATCCCTCTGTCCGAGCACAGGGTGTGACCGAGCCCACGCCACCTTGCAGGGCTGCTGTCCCCTCGCCTGCCAGCCAGCAAAGGAGCCCTGGCCTGGGAAGGGACAGTGGGGCAGTGCTCAGTTGGGCAGTGGTCATTTGGGCAGTGCTCAATGGTCAGTTGGTGTTCAGCAGGGCAGTGCTCAGCAGGATAATGCTCAGTGGGGCAGTGGTCAGTGGTCAGTTGATGCTCAGCAGGGCAGTGGTCATTTGGGCAGTGCTCAGCAGGGCAGTGGTCATTTGGGCAGTGGTCATTTGGGCACTGCTCAGTGGGGCAGTGGTCAGTGGTCAGTTGGTGTTCAGCAGGACAATACTCAGCAGGGCAGTGGTCATTTAGGCAGTGGTCAGTGGGGCAGTGGTCAGTGGTCAGTTGGTGCTCAGTTGTGCTGCCCATCCCAGGCACTGAGGCCCCTGTCCCGTCTCAGCTGCAGGAACCTTGTGTGGAAAACCCAAACAAAACAAAAACCCCAAATCGATCCCATAGGAACCAGGTCTGGCTTTAAACCCGGTGCTTTCCTGGGGTGCAGAACTCCTCAAAAACTGCTTTGCTGCCGGGAGCTGCCATTCCCCTTCCACGGAGAGAAAAACACCCGGGGCGGGGGCTCTGGGCTCTGAGAGGGGTSGGGGACAAACTGCCGTGAATATTGAGGGAATCTGTGGGGCAAATRAATATTGAAGAAATTCGTGACCCGTGAATATTGAAAAAATCCATGACCCGTGTGCCATTCCAGAGCTCTGCCTC